AACGTTTAGATTATTCCTGGGTGTTTACAACTTTTTTTCACAGTTTTGGTCAAGCCATATGAGAAAATGAAAGAGCTAAGTCATTACTCCATCCAGATCATGAAGGCTGACACCACTTGGAGGAGGCAGCTCTCCCCCACTGCAGGCGAAGTGCCTTCCAACCTGGGAGCTGAAAGGACTCATTTTCAGACACTGGATCAGACAATGTTGGATTGCTATTCCTAAGGCTTCTATTGGCTAATATTTTTATACGGGTAAGCCAGCACCTCCTTGCTTGTCTGTTTTAGTCTGCAATGTTCTTTTCCCAAATTATTATTAAAGTTGCAACATTAATATATCAATTTTAACAGTTTTTAATGTAAATTATATAAAATTAATCAGAAAACATCTCATTATCTGATAAATTTTTTTTTTTCATAAAGCATGAAGAACATAACATGTTTTATATGGCTATGATCTTTTTTGTCCATACAGGTTTATAGAAAGATGATATAAAACATTATACAAAACCCCTCTGCCTTGAAATATTATATTATAAAAACATCTGTATCTCCATAATCCTTTGAAACTTTTGCTCTTATAAAACACAAAATTCAAAGCTGCTTTTAATTCTGAAAAAAGAAAAAGCTCTAATTATTAACAAACTACACTTGCTCTTTGATCCTTAGAGAAGTTTTACATTACACATAGAATATTTTTCTAAATATTTTACATTAAGAACTGTTAAAGTTGATATATATATTTTGAAACTTTAATAATAAGTGGGGGGAAAGCCTTGCAGACTAAAATAGACTAACAAAGAGGACCTGGCTATGCCTTATGAAAATATTAGCCAATAGTAAGCAACTCTAACAGAAATCCCAGTTTAGACGATGTTGGTTTTTGAAGTCTTGCCTTTACCTTGTCAATAAGAATGTTTCTCTTTGATTTGCTCCCATTAAATACTTTAATCTCATGTTCTAAGGCATTGTGTATGCCTCTTTTACATTTTTTAAATTCAGAGTAGTTTGGTGTTCCTTAACATTCATTATTAAACTTGGATTCCATTTGTGTTGAACAACAAGAATTTCCATGAACGTAGTTGCCTTTGCTTAATCAGGTTGCATTACTCTGAAGAACTCTGTTATGTCCTTAGTTCAAAGGTTACTATCATTTTTTGTCTCTGCAATTTTGTGGGAAATTTATATAAAACATTATACATAAACCCTCTGCCCCTGAGTTGATTCTAACATTTCACCTCACTATACAACAGAGTAGACCATCTCTTAGGAGTTCTGAGACGAATCTTTTGGGGAGCAGACAGCCTCATCTTTCTCCCATGGTACGACTTAGGGGTTTGCATTGCCAGTGTTCTAGTTAGCAGACTAACACATCCCCATTGCACTACGACAGCTCCATATACACCACTATAAGCAACAATCGGGTAATCCTTCTCCAATATGTAAGGTCTGATTATGCTTAATGAACAGTCATCTAAAAATTAGAAATATGTATGTTTGAATAAATGTCTTTTTTACCATGGGAATGACCAAAGCTGTTACAGTTGCAAATGCTATCTTTCTTCAATAAGTTGATATCCACAGTTACACCTGAGCAAAGAATAAGACCACGTAGTGCCTGCTTATATTCTTGTAATGAATACCAGTAGCTGACATGGAAAACTGTGCGTGAAAACTCTAGTGTGTTTTCACTAATATAGTATACCTAGAATATGAAAAATATAGAGATTAGAATTTAGTCGTGGTTATCAGTGGTGGGTGAGAGGGGGAAAGGAAGAATGGTTATTTAGGGAGTAAAATATTTTCTTTCGTGCAGATGAAAATATTGGCAATGGATATTATTTGTGATGGTTATACAACAAAAATTATGTAACTGGTTTTATTGAAAAATAATGAAATAGCAAATATTTTTGGGTATTTTGTTTCTATTTTTTAGTGTTTTTCAATGACAAAAAGGGAGATAAAAATGAAAATATGTCCTTAGTAGATTTTTCTTATTCCTATAAGTTTTATTCTGTTTTATTTCAGGAGCCTTTACCTGTTAATTAGTAGGGCATTCTAAATCCCAACAATTGAATATGGCTTTGAGATGCGTCATCCCTATTAAATACATTCGACGTTCAGCAAATGTGCTAACTCCCCTCTGATTTATAATATAACCTTGGAGTTTTTCAATCTCACATTAACTTTTTTTCAACCTGACCCTTCTCAAAGTTGCATTGTCATAACATGTTTCCTGCTCCTCAGAGGGAGGTGATACAGATTAATGAGTTTGAACTCCACAGACTTGTTCTCTATAAGTAGCAATCATGTTTTCAATTGGTATTATTTCACTATTTCAATTTTCTGAAGCCACTTGGGACTATACGAATCTACAGGGATTCAGAAAATAAGAATAAGCTAGTTCTGCAATGATCTACATATTCACACAACCTTCAGAAATGCATCTCTTTTTTTTTTAAGGATGAAAACAAAGACAAGCTGGTCGATGACAAGTTAGAAAGACAATTGGTTCTTTAAAGGTTTTTTAAAAGCTCTTTCCCAAAGGCTTCTCCTGGAACAAATAGCATGCTCATCAGATTAGATAAGGTAGACCAGAGAGATACATCCCACAGAAGTGCAAGATGTTTATTGAAGTTTGATCAAAAATTAATATGATGACTTTACCATAGCTCTGAGACATTTCGGTAATGCAAATAAATCTAGGTGGAGAATGTCTATAATGATATAATGACTATCACAGTCTTCTGGAGGATCGGAAGACTGATCTGTCCAAATTGAACATACACTATAGAAATATAGACAGAATGTTGTGAGAAATAAATTCTAATTAAAAATCATGTAATGAAATTGCTTTATATTCTTTAATATTATAAATTACATAACATATTAAATAAATTTCTACAAATTTATATCTTTTTAAGAGCAAAAGCTCAGCTCAGCTGTAAATCCCAGATTTTAAAAAGTTTTAGGAGTTCTTACCGTTTTTCTAATCATCATCAACAGCAACAGAATGACATTTTCCCACATGATTGCAATCATCTATACATAATAACTTTTAAATGCAGAATGTATTATTAATATTTTATATATGCTATTATTCACATGCTGTATTTATCATGTGTTTACTATATTACAAACATCTTCAAGTTATATATTTATATATGATGTATTTAATATCACCTTCACAAGCATGAGGTAAAGAAAGATACCCCCCCCAAAAGATACATTTCTCAAAAGTGCAGAGTATAATGGATTAAAGATAAACTATTTTTCATAATATTGGACAATTCATTGTACCTGTTATAATAAATAAATAAATATTACATTATCTTCATTATTCATACAAGTTAACCTTGATTTAGAAGAGTTCAATAATTAAATAAAAATCCGTGGGATAGTAAGAATGGCAATAAAACCATTTGAACAGGGAGTTCAAATAATCTGGCAAAAAAACCATCTGCCAAGTGAGTCAAGTTCTCAACCCATGTCTGAGTTATTTTCTGATTTGATTTTGTTGTTGTTGTTAATATGATGTATTTTCAGTACGGAAAGGCATGCTGAAATCGAATGAATACATTTTCAGCAATTTCGGATTTTGATACAATTGACATGCTGAAATCGAATGAATACACTTTCAGCAATTTTGGATTTTGGTATAATTGTGTAGGACATACATATCCCAAGTGGATACTGGTGGGAAGATGGGTGGGTTGTTACTTTAACTTCATGCAGTTATAGAGGTGCCCATCAGACAGTGGGAAAAACTCGCACCATGGACTCAATTTGAATTTATATGTGTATCTCCCTCAACAGAAAAAAAAAAATTAATAGAAAGATTCTTGTATGTATGTATGTATGTATATACATACATACATACATTAATAGAAAGATTCTTGTTTGTATGTATGTATGTGTATATACATACATACAAGAATACATACATACATACATACATAAATAGAAAGATTCTTGTATTTATGTATGTGTATATATACATATACATACAAGAATCTTTCTATTAATGCATATCCCTGAGGTCTGTGGCTCTCAACTTTCTTAATGCCATGACCGTTTAATACAGTCCCTCATGTTGTAGTGACCGCGTTTGTGGGTACATCTGCATGTGGGCTGACCCGCCTGGAGACAGAGACATGAGCAGTGTCTTGGTTCCTAAGGCCCTCAGAAATATGGCCTTAGGAGACTCCTGTGAAAGGGTCATTCGACTCCCAAAGGGGTAGCGACCCACAGGTTGAGAACTGCTGCCCTAGGTGATTTGGGACCTTTTTAAAAGGCTGGAATGGGTAATATATCTTCATGAAGATACTCTTGAGTTTAAAAAAGGTCTAAAGTGTCCAATCTAAAAATGTCACATGGTTTGCTTTTTTATTCGTTCAATTTACTTCCTAAATAGTAGGGGAAAAACATGCTAGAGAGTAGGTTGTCATCTTTGGCTTGACATAGACTTCTGAGGTAATGATACTGTGTCAATCTCTAAGCATCTCCTTCTATATGGAGGCATCATGATTATTCATTACGATCAAAACCTGCTCAAAACTTTAAACCTTAATAAGCTTCAAGGCCCTTGTGGAATTAACTGGGGGAAAATGCATTTTCTAAACTCAGTAATAAGATGTAGAAGAATGCCACCATGTAAAAAAGAGGCATGGTTCAATTTTGAATAATACTATTTTGAGCATTCTAAAATTATGAATATGAGAGTCATATATGTATAATCTGCTAAAGTGCGTAAAAATCACACAATTTATTATACTTACATTTTAAACAGAACTAGTGAGGCATGTACACACACTGCTGTGAGACACTGTTCAGTCACTTCCAGCTCATAGAAACCCTATGATCAAAAGAACAAAGCATTGCCTAGTCCTGTGCTATCCTGAACATCGCTGTTTTGCTAGGCCCTTTGTTGCAGCTGCCATGTCAAGCTTTCTCCTTGAGGGTCTTCCTTTTTTTTTTTTCTTTTTTTTTTTTTTTCTATATCAAGGGAGAGAGCGAATGCAGTCCCCCACTACTGTAAATTACGCAGTCGAGTTTCCCACTTTTGGGGAAATCGCAGGGGTCAGCTCATCTGGAGTGCCATGGATGAGCCTCGCCCTGGGAAAACCACCTTCGTGATCATGGTATCTCCCCTGGCAGGTAAGTATCTTTAAAAAAAAATTTTTATGCTCAACTTCGCCAAGCATGAAATCTTTTTCCAGGGACTGATCTTTCCTGAGAAGATGTTTGAAGTACATGAGTTAGTCTCACTTCTAAAGAGCATTCCAGAAGAACAAATGCTTCTTGCAATATGTTATTTTCTGGCAATTCCAGGGACTTCCACATTCTTTGCAGCGACATAATTCAAATGCATGAATTCTTTTAGACTCTCTGTATATACTGTGCAGCTTTCACACGCACTTGATATGGTTGAAAATACCTGTGTGTGGGCCAGGCACACATCAGTCCTCAAAGCAACATCTTTGGTCGTTTACACTTTCATCACGTTGAAGAATAGATGTTCCCTAAGCAATACATCATTTGATTTCTTGACTGCTGTTCCATCAGTGTTGATTGTGAGTAAACTCCAATCATTGAAAATATAATTCATTTCTCCATTTATCAAGCTGTTGTGTATTGGTTAAGTTGTGAGGATTTCTTTTTCTTTTATTGAATTATAATCTAAACATATGTGACTGTGAAGGCTGTAAAGTAAAATATCTGTAGATCAGGGCACAGGCTACTGAGTCCTGCTAATTCACAGAATTGTTGGAAAACAAATTAGTACAAAATTCTCTGGTGATGAAGCAAACTGGAAACTTCTGCAATTCTGTGCCCCAAGAACCATAGACCAGGAAACAGAAAGGTACAGAATGAAGTGCCAAGTGAGAGTTATGCACACATATCTGTTTATAGTCTGAGGCGAAATACATTAGAGTACATCAAACAACAGAAAATATAGTAACAATGGACCAAACAACTGGGGACCAAAGCCTAGCCAAGTTGAAAAATAAAATTACCACCTTACTACACTACAGTGTTGCCACAACCAAAATTGGAGCACTGGAAATAACGGCATGCATCAAATTTCTCCTTGTTGGATGGTCTTATGTTTAATTATTCATTGATGCAGATGGCTCCAGCGTGTGTATATCCTCACATGATGTGTCTATTAACATCTGAGTTTATCGTTGACTGCACGGACTCAAATGGGAGAAGATTTTCATCGAGAGGGATCTTGGTAATGCATACCTAGTTTCAAGACAATACTTTTTCATAAAATGTTCGAGTAAGATAGAATATGATCTTCATTCTTGAATTCATCGCTCTTCTGCCTATAACAATCATTTATGAGTTCAAAAGAGAAGGAAATATGAAGCTAATATGTTTGAGGGTGGGAAAATTCAGAATAGATGTGAAAAATATATGTTATTGAGGTTAAAAAAAAGAGATAGGTTATGGAAATTTAGTACAGGAAGACAAACATCACTGGGGTTGCACACAGAAACCAGTGTGGCAGAGAAGTAATGGCCTTTCTTCAAGTAGTGTGAAAGTTAAAAAAAATTTTCAATTAGGATAACTAAGATGTGCAACCTGCATATAATGACTCTTTATTCTGATAGGCTCGTGACATTCACACAATGATGTTTAATACTCCCCATCCCCCCCTTTTTAGAGGATAGCATAGAGTCTCTCAGGGAAGTAAGTCAATTTTATAAGGCAGATCACTGATAGCCGAGCTAGGGTAGTATAAATGGAATTTGATCCACAGTTGATATTGACTTCAAAGTTCATGAGTTTCCTCTGCTACAATGTTCCTGTTGCCATCAAGTTGAAGCTGACACATAGCAACTCTACAGGAGAGAGGAAAAGGGACCCCCAGGGTTTCTGAGGCTGTACTTTTTCACAGACGCAGACTGTCACATCTCCCAGGGCGTTGGAGACCGATCAGTTAGCAAAGAAGTGCTTATCCACTGTGGAACTGGGCTCCTTTCTAAACACCAGGCTATTCTTAAGCAAGCTGACAACAAAAATTCTCTTCTTTTATTTATGCACATTCTGACTGAAAGGAAAAATAGTCTGCTTTGTTCTTCAGTCAACCGTCTTTTCGTTTACTTACTCTGTAAGTAAAAGCAGCAGAGGATGGAAAATTATCAGAGGGATTTCCACAGTATCATGCGTATTATTTATTACCTGGTCTGTGCTAGACTCATTAGACCCATCATCCCTAATAGTCTCAATCATCAAGAGGGAGAGTGATTTATCCCCATATAATAGGACATAACAGAAGAGAAACTATTGGAGGTTTCTAGTCTAAAGAAGAGTAAATTAAAGGAACAAAGCACAGAAAAAAATCTACATTTTCTTTTGATCAATAAAATTAAATATAATTTTCTGGTAATATTATTGAGAACATAGACTTATTTTAAGTGAATTCATGTATTTCTGGGATAACAATAATTGAATTTTTTTCAAACTTGAAAAGAATCTATAGAGCAAAATTACATAAACCTAAAAATTTAAGTAATGTTGAGTTAATACATAAAAAGCAGTGTTAATAAAATTAACTAGTAGTATTTTCCAGATGTTAATGCTAAATGTACTTTTATTTTTATTTTCTTCACCTTTTTATGTACCTCTTACTTTAGGCTGAAGGAGTGTAACTGGGTGGCACAGTGAGTGAAGCATTGGTCTATTAATTGCAAGGTTGCTGTTTTAAATCCAATAGGCACTGTGTGAAAGAGAGATGAGGCTGTCTCACATCATAATTTACAGACTCAGAAATCCTATGGAAGAGTTCTATTCTACCACATAGATGAAAGGATTTGAACTTGACTCAGTTTGACTATTTGCAATACAAGAAGCTCTTCAACTGACCTCGTCTTAAGTGTTAGCGTGCTAAAACTCAGAGAAAGGAACTATAAATGATAGCTTTACTCAGGGAGGTGAGTACATAATGATATGATTTTTTGTTCTTTGATACCTGATAACTGATCCCTTCAGCACCACGTAATCACACAGGCTGGTGTGCTTCTTCCATGTGGGCTTTTTGCTTCTGAGCTAGATGTCTGCTTGTTTAAGACCCTAGATGCAATATCTTTTGATAGCCAGGCTCCATCAGCTTTCTTCACCCCAAGGACTAAAACAGCGATCACAATAATCTAGCTGAATGAATGAAATAATTAAGAAACAAATACAGATATAGTCCTCATGGAGTTTTACTGCATGTAAATTTAGTATTAAATATTTATCTTAACACACATCTGTATTTAATATTAAACAGTTATCTTAATATTAAAGAGTTATCTTAAGTTAGATGGCTCCTACTTAGTATTTTTTCAATTGATCACTTATAAAAACATCACCGAAATCTTTGATAGAGGAGTAGTATTATTTATTTATGGCTGACATTATCTGATATATTGTGTAAATAGATTTGATTATATCTCATAATTTAAAATTCAATTAAACTTGCTTACATTAATTTATCATTAAAAATCCAAATTTATCAATACATTTTTAAAATCCTCAACATTTTCACAAAATCTTAATCAATTTTTGGGTTTTTGTTTATGACTATTGGATTAAAAGTGCATTCTACAACCCTAAACAAATTATTGAATTAGTTTGAAATTTTGAAAATAATAGTTTTAAAACTGAATGAGATATTCTAAATTTCATTTCTGTTTTAAAAAATAAAATTCCAGATTAATAAAGGAGAACATGTCCAAATACCTTCATTTATCCACATAGATGGCAAATTATAAGGGTAAAATGGTTCAAATTCTCATGTCTGCTCTATTAAATGAATAGCACAGACATAAATAAATTCAGTGGCATAAATAGATTAAATGATAAATTTAATTTAATAAAGTAAGTTTTATTTATAAAAGTATGATGGATATATAAGTATTTATATATAAACTAAATGTAATATATGGTAGCAAAATGAAATGTATTCTTTAATTATTATTCTATATTATATATGTACTATTCTATCTTATTGTTATATTACACTCATATTATTCATACATTTTATTTTATTCTATATTGGGCTTATTATTGGAGGCATTTTGCTAATTTACCAAGATCTTCCCCTTTTTGTGAATAAAATGTATTTAAAATTATCAGAATATTTCTACAGCTAAACTTTTTCACAGGTTATGAGTCATTCCATTATAAATACTAGAATCTAATGTTTAATGTAAATATAAAAATACATTATACCAATGTATGATAGTTAAGATTTTTTTGTCAAGTGGCTGAGCCAGAAATTTCTGGTGCTTTGGCAATTAAGGTGTAGTATAAGATCTACCATAATCTAATCCTGAGCATATGGTCTCTTTCAATAGAAATAGAATACTAAAAAATCATGCGTACCTTTTCCTGGGTCTGGATCCTGCAAAGGGCTCTTCATCTGACCTCTAGATGTTTGCACTTGACTCATGTGCCTACTGTACTGCCAGCTGATCCTGGAAGTCATCAGCAGTCTGCTGTGTGATCTGCCAATATGGGTGCATCAGCCCCTGCAACCTTCTAAGCCCCAAGGAGCCTCCAGCTAGATATCTGATTCATGGATTTGGAACTTGCCAGTCTCTACAACTATGTGAGCCATTTCATTGACATAAATCTTCCTCTGAATATAAATATGCAAGCCTCACTGAGATGGGTTTTCAAGATAACCCAATCTAAGATACAAGGGTGGCTAAAGTTTTGATACTAAGGTTCCAGTTCATAAACACAAGGATTTATTCTTGATGAAACACATTGAGGCATGTTTCTGTGATCAATGGATGGCTGCAGCCAAGTTCTCTAAGTAAAACACTTGTGTTAACCTTAAATGGTGTAAAAGAAACAATGTCTAATCCAAACGGTAGTATTTGCTACACAGGTAAAATTGTAGACAGAGAGCTCAGCCCAGAAAGTA